TATGTTTTGTTATTAGTTTAAGTATTTGCTATCGACTGTTCAACTGCGGAGTTTTGCACAGCACAGAGTAATGCGTCGTGTGTGTGTGTGTGTGAGAGTGTGTGTAAGGGGAACAGGGTCACATCACAGGAGAGTGAACAGCCTGTCAGAAATCATAGCACGTCAGCGGTCTTAACCGCGGCTTGTGTACTGCATCATCACTGTATCTGTCACACGACTCTGTTGCCCTTTCAGTCTTGAACTGATGGTAAAACTAATGACATTACTAACTGTCTTGATATTTACTTTGAAAGCTGAAGCGATTATGGTAAGGGGCGTTATATTTCCGATGCGTGCTTGTGGTGTTCGGCCAATCACAATGCACTGGGTCAGCTGGCCAATCAGAGCAGACTGCGCTTGTCAAAGGAGGGGGCTTTGTTGAAAACGACATGTTTTAGAGAGGCGGGGCATAGAGGACCTACATTAATGTACAGTATTTGTGTTTTTGTTTGTATGTGTTTTTTGAACATTAAAGCATGTCAACATATTCTGTTATACCAAATACACAAAATAATTATCTTTAAAATAGTATCATATGACCCCTTTAATATTATGAATTTGGACATACTGCTCTTCTCGTGTTGTTTTTCACACTTATGCAGTAGGGATGTCGGCATATTCGGAGTTTCAGACGCAGGAATTGTCTTAACGAGTGAGTCACTGACTCACATCTTCCAATTCTTATCTTCGTTCAGCTGGCTGATTTATTAAGAAACAAAGCAAGTGGCAAAGCAGCTGTTTATGAATGAGTCATTGAATTATTCACTCAACTGATTTGTTCTAAATGCTGATTCAGTCAGTAACAACACACCAGTGTTTGTTTCTCAAAGATTTGTGTTTAAAACTATTTTTGTTGGTGAAATGGAGCCAAAACAGACAATATTATGTCTATAAATGTAATATAAATATAAAAATGTAATAAAAATATAAATTATGTCTAAATGAAACTCCCATAATATTAACATCTTGTTTATTGCACTGTTGTATAAAATCAATATAACATTTGCAATCATGCTGATATTTGGGGGTGCTTTTGTTTGGTTTTTGCAAAGTGAATGAAATACTCAATAATATCAGCTCACACATTGCCAAATGGTTATTTCGCCGATTTCGCTAAAAGCTTTGTACTGTCGGTAGTACAAGTACATGAAAAATGTACCTACACAAAGATATCATCATTTTGACAGCAAAAGTCTGCCAGATGATGCAAACTGCATCATCCAAAGGACTTGACAAATCCAGGACTTTTGTGAAAACTACAGACCGTACTTCCACATTTTTGAATTCCCGCTCATGGATAGTCTGATTGAGCCCAGTGCATTATGGGCGATACATTTTTTCTACCTTTCTTCACCACAGCCTTTTTCTCTGTTGTTTTCGTAAAAAAAAAAGCTACATAGACATAGTTTCTACTACATAGACAGCCAGCTTTTATCAAAATCCTATCTTGCCAGCTGCAAATTAATCCATTAAAACAACACAATATTATCGCAGACATGTCGCACACCCCTAATATACAATGTTGTCTTATTAGCATTGCCATATTGTCTTTTTTCCTGACAAATGCTCATTTTTTTTACAATATATCATTTGCAGGTACAAAGAACACCCCTCTGCAGATCACAGCCATGGTGGTCAGTCTGGGCTACTTTATGTTTGACATGGCCTGGTGTGTGTACTTCCGCACAGAGGGCCTGGTGATGCTTGCCCACCACACCATGAGCATCCTGGGTATTCTGCTCACTCTGTGGCTGGGGGAGTCGGGCATCGAGTCTTGCGCCGTGCTGTTTGGCAGCGAGATCACAAACCCCCTCCTTCAGACGCGCTGGTTTTTGAAACACTCCGGCCGCTATGACAGCTTCCTCGGAGATGTGGTGGACGTTCTATTCGTGCTGTTGTTTGTGTTCATGCGCATTTTTGTCGGCGGCACCATGTTGTACTGTGAGCTGATCTCTCCGAGACCCAAGTTTATCATGAAAGGTGGCGGCGTGGCCATGTACGCGCTGTCCTGGGTGTTCATGGTTGACATCGGCCGCTTCGCATACCGCAAATCCCAGCTCAAATACCAGCGCTGGTTGAATCGTCACAGGATGGCAGAGGTCAACGGGCAGGATGTGAAGAGAGACTGAAAGATCTCTCAGATCAGCGGTTTGGCCTCTCGTTTCGAACACCGGAGAGAAGAATGAGAATCAGAACAAGTGTACCAGCTAATAAAGCTCTGCAGCTAATAGATGTTTACATATTTTTTAAAAAGATATCAGCCATTAAAGTTGATTTCTGGTTGGTAATATACACATGGGAAAACATCCATGCTGTATCAGAGCCCTTAAACAGTCTTAATGGTTTTTTATTTTTTGCCATTATGATTAACTCAAAATTCTTACAATCAAATCTAATTTGATATATTTGTACTCCCGAAAGAATGAAGTGTTTAAACTCTTTTAAGTACTGGAAATATTTGATATTTTTGTAATTAGGAACACTACTTGTTATAAATTTTAATTAAAAAGTAAATCTCTTCTTTGAAATGTAACCATTTTTAAATTGAGACTGAGTGATGACTTCCAGGCTGTTTGCATCAGTTATTGATCTGTTATGGTGATTTGACCACACCAATTGATAAATCAATAAACATCATCATCATCATTACAATAATGTATTTTAGGATGTTGTAATGTTGCAATTGATCAAGGAAAAATGTATTAAAGTTTATTCAAAGTCATTGTGAATTGAATACACCTCTTCTGATTAACGTGATCAAATTCTGAATTACAAATCATTAAGATATTGGGGTTTAATAACCGAAATCGAGGTCTAGGTGGTTTAACGGTTAAGCGATTGTAAAAAAACAAAAGTGCTATTAAAAGGTTACAATTGGTGATTTGTAAGGGATTTTGTATACTGTTTTATTATTTCTTTTAAAAAGCGGTGAAGCAGTTTTGTTTTAAAATATGTATGTATATTGTAAAGATTTTTTATGAAAGTGTTTTGTTTTCAGGTGGAAATCTTTTAAGAAATTCTTTAGATTCATGACTCAATTGTTTCATTTTCTTGCAAATAAGAACATATTATACAAAGTATAATTACTAAACAAAATATAATAATGTACGAAAAAGGTCCAACTGAAGTAAAACGCTATTAACGCGTTGCAGTTTTGTGAGCGTCCACCATGTGGCAAACTAACATAATACTTGAACGGGTTTTCGCACCCTAGGGCTTGACGGTTTTTAATTCAACCAGTGACTGCCTCACATTTTCCAACGGATTAATTAAACTCATTTAGCCAGCTGACTGTAAATCAAAAAATTCTCGACTGTTACTTTAATAAAAACATAATATGACGGAAAAATGGGCGAAAAGTGAACGCCTGGTCTGAATCACAATGGATACACATTCAAAACAAGTACGTTTCAATGTAATTATGAACAAAATACTAAAAAGCCTTTACTCAAAGCTATCTAAGACGACATTAACTGTATCACAGACTCTTTATTTTATTTTTTTTACATGTCCTAATATTTTATTTTCCACTGACTGGACGCGTTTCCAGAGTTTGAGTGAATCTTCGCGAAAAAGAAACTTGGAATCTTAACTCCAAACTGTAACCAAAACACTGAAAGTTTCTCAAATTGCAGTGAGCCTGTCTACCTAGACAGCATTTTGTGCACGTTGCGAGTCAGTTCAGCAGAGCGAGCTGGCGTGAACTGGGTTGAATCGGAAATGCTGTCCATGCAGGCGGCTCACTAGGTTTTGAGACGCAACCCCGCGGGAGACACGGCACATCTCAACTTTCCCCAGTCTGATGGACCGGAACCTACAACCTCTAAACTGATTTCACCGTGGACCCTCGCTTCCATACGAGCTCGGTATCATCTGGGAAAACACTTGGGAAGAGCCACGCGAACTTTGTCGAGTGGTTTTGTTTATTTTGACGCTGAAGTGATTTCGTCGCCGCTCCATGGAAACTCTTCGCGAGGTGACACGTGTATGAGCGCGTGTGCTTTTTCCCTGTCTGGGTGACTGTGGGATTGGTGTGGATGCACACGGTTGTTTATTGTTGTTGGGAAAATATCGCGTCTCATTTTTGGAGTGGACGTTATTAGGCTGCTGTTAGCTTTAGCATAGCAAGGCCTCGTCTGCAGTCTGGGTTTGCGGTATTGCTGCTGCTGTGTTGGCCGTGGACGTAACGTTACACACATTCAGCATTAGGAAGCTCAAAAGTGTTTTAATTGTCAAAGGATTGTAACTTGGAGCAGTAGGAAGTGTTTCGTCGTCGCCTGGGAGCTTCTGCTGAATATGAAGGTACATTTACAGCTGCACGATAACGGAAAATCACATTGGGAGTTATTTTGGTTGAATTGTTGACTGTGCAAGCCTCCTGACTTGTTACTATACTGTTAAAACTAGCGAGTATAACGTTTTTATAACTATATAACGTTTTTATGTATACAGAACATACTGAGTTTTATTTTATATGTCCAAACTGCAATTACAGTAGAGGTAGAGTGTTATTGTGTTAATGTTATTGTTGCAGGATTATTTTTTGGTAAACCGCACCATTACTCGAAGAACCAAATGTTCATTGGGTTGCTTCAGGATATTTGCAGATTGGTTTAAAAAAAAAAAAAAGTGTATAAGCACTTTTAGGTCTTCAATGCATATTATATGCTTTTATATTTTCTAATATTTAAAGTCATCTGCTCATTGGTTGTTGTTTATGTTTATGATTGTATGTAGTCATTGGGATTAATTGCTGTTTTGGTGCAACTTTTATAATAAATGTTATGTTTTGTTTTTTGTGAATAGGGAACCTCCTGATCTATGGATGCAACAGCCTCATGCAACATCAGAAACCGAAGCCTCGCCTGACGCATCTGAAAATGACTATAGGATATAGGACAAATAAAAGCTAAAAACAAAAGCCCAATGAGCGACACACGGTCCACAGGCACTGACAGGTATGTTCGTGTTATGTGGACTAACTTGCTTCTGGTATGATCCATGTACTTAAGCAGACATCTCAGCCTACATCGGTGTTAACTCTGTATAGTGAACTGTATTGGACAGCATTGAGCTTGCATTGGTTTGGTTTTGTAATTATGTGTGTGTGGTGTAGGTTTATGGTCATGAAGTCCGGTTTTGTGCTTTGCTTCCAATTTTGAGAACTCTTGTTTCCAGTGGCCAGTCAATGCATGTATGAGAATTTGGATGCACTCGAGTATGTTTCTGTAGGTTTGCAGGTGTGTTGTATAAATACATTCACAAATGCTGCATGATCTGTCATGTTGGTGTTGTTTTTGACTCGTATGTCTTTTGACCTATCAACAGTGAAAATTATTTAACTTAACAAGTGCAGTTTAGCCATGATGAGCAACTTTCATGGTGCCTATAGCACTTGAAATGTCATTTACTGTGGCAACATTTTGACTTTGACAGCTTCTGTGGCATTTTGGGAGGGGTTGTTTTGAATATCAGCAAATGCAGTAGTTCATCTGGGTCTTTTTTTGCCTACTGTTTTGTGAATCTCTCATAATTGTTGAATTAAACATTGCTGACACTTGTATATGTTCTTCTATTTCACACTGAAACGTGTTTCCTGTTCATCAGTGATAAGAGCAGCTTAATAACCAAGTTGCTTAAAATAGCTGTGCTGCTGTGCTCTTATGCATAGCTTCACTAATGATATTTTGACACTTCAGTATTTGAAACTGTACTGTCATTAATACATTATGAAATGAAATGCATGTTATGGTCATTACAGCTATAGCTCTGGTAATAATGTAAGCTAGTTAGCAATGATACAGTAATGTTTGTAGTTTCACTGGGTGAAACATCACGAAGACAGTATTATTTTGACCATTAAGGTTTTTTTTTTTTGCATTGCGTTTTTTCTGACAAACACAAACTCTTAGGGTGCTTTCACACTAGCACTTTTGGTGCGCACCCAGGTTCGATTGAAGTCAGAGTTCGGTTCGTTTGGATGATGTGAACGCTGTCTTCCGAACTCGAGTGTGCACCCGCGAACCGTACCTGAGTCCACTTAAAAAGGGTGGTCTGGGGTACGGTTCATGTGAACTCCAATACTGTTCACTGCTGATGTGAACACAATCGTACCAAATCCCGGAAGTGAACCGCTATTAATGACGTATTATTTGATAAAAATGTGTGTTTGTGTGTGTTTCACTCACTTTCCTGACGCGCTACGAACAGAGCTGTATATCTCATTTCTGTTCGCCTTCAGCATTCTTTAGAGCATTTGCAGTACATTCGTAAGACAGACGTAAGTGCCGTTATGTACCGAAGCTTTGTAAACAAAACGTAAATATATAAAAGTGCAGAGAGCAATGCTATGCATTGGCCACCTTCTCCTGCAACGTCGTTACTAAGCAACGTTGATGCGAACCGTGGTTCGGACCCAAATAAAATGATATGAACGCAGTCCAGCACACTGTAAAACCTGGTAAGTTAAGAATACTCAAAACATTTGAGGAAACTTATTGCCTCAAAATATTTGAGTAAACAAACTCAATTTTTTAAAGTTAGTAGAGCTTAACATTTTTATGACCAGTGGGGCGGGGCTGAGAGCCATGGGCTTCCATGGTCCCACCCCACTCATCACAATGATAATTCTATACAACTTGCTTCCGTTAACAGCACATTCATTCAGATCTTTATAGTTAAGTGCTAGCTAGTCACAGCACACTAGCACGTACTAATGTAGTTATCTAAAAGACTCACTCACAATACTTGCATGTAAATAGTCAAACAACATGCAGTATAAATAGTCTTTTAAGTTTTGCTGTCCATCCTCAACCTAACCACAGGCTCTACTCTTCACCACAACGGTAACACTACAAAACCAACATAACAGAAACCTATGTAAATCCTAACATAACACAACATTTAAGTACTAACTTATGTCTCTCTATGTTAATCTTGTGTAAAAACACACAAAATAACACTTAATTTCTACATTTATTTTCCTTGTTGTCTGATGCAGTCTAGTTGATGTCTAGTTCATGCTGGGAACTAGAAAACGCAATAATTTTAAGTTCATCTTACTACAACAACATTTTAAATTTACAGAACTTTTCAATTAAGTCCAATGAACTTTCATTATTATTTAATTAATTTCACTGTTCGGTTTTACAATGCGGGGGCAGGGGGAGGGGGGAGCAATCGAACACTGGTTCGGACCAGGCAAACGAACCAAGTGTTAAAGCACCCTTAAATTCATGTTACTGTAATGTGAAATTAATCACATTCTCATTACTGTAATACAGCAGTGTTTCCTCCATCAAGCATGCTGCGTTACTGGGTAATCTGCCGCACAGTGACCAAAATATAATCGCTGTATATTTTAGCTGAAAGATGAGAGTTTGTGATTTTTGTATGGAGAGAAAAAAACTTGGGTGTTGGAAAATAATCTTTTGACAACAAATAACCAACCTTGCTTTTTCAACTGTGTTTTCATCGCTGGCTGCATGCAGCAATAAACCTACTGCACTGAACTACCCACTGAATCGCTCGATTAGGGTGGTTCTTTTTAATGAATCAGAAGAACCAATCAGAGTAATTAAACACAGCCCTCCACAGTCTGAATCATCAGCTAATGTGGTCATTGTTGTTTGTTGTTATTTATTATAAAGCTGTTTGGGTGTTCCCCCTATGCAAAATAAGAAAAAAAACAATAACCAAAAATCATGGTTTCTCTCTCTATATATATATTTATATATACATTCATACATAATTAAAATTAGTACATATATAATTAATTTTTACATGTGTGTGTATATATATATATTTTTTATTATCTTATGCAAGTAGATTTAATTAGTTTTATTATTTTACATAACTATTGGAGATGGAAGGTTTAATTGTGCT